AATCTGACCGTTGATCTGGAAACCTGTCATGCTGGTCGGGCCCACCAATCACTGCACCCACCAGGATGTTGGGGTTTGGGGACTGGGACCTCATCACACTGAACCCAGAAGAGCACTGGATCTTGGCTGGGTGTGCGGCAATGGACGGCAGGGATGAGCCCCTGTGGTGAATCCTTCGTGGGTACCTTGGGCCATACCCCACCATGTAGGACATCTTCAAGGGATTGTCTCCTAGTAGGTAATCCACCTGATAAAACATTCATAACAAAATTAAAAAGAGATTAATTAAGACATAGATACTTGCTTAGCTGGTTTGTTGTTCGAGTATCCTTTAATTAGCAAAAGAGGAATGTCTTTAACATGAAATGTGTTTGTGGGACACTGACCTGTCTTTTGGCAATAGCTCGGAGCCTCTTAGGGGTGATGGCGGTTCCACCACAATTGACCACCTGGCGGGCAGTGGTTAAGTATTTGGCGTAGCTTAAGAGCAGAAATGAGGTGGAGGTCACATATTGCATGTTGCTATCATTCATTTTGAAAAGAAGACCACCTGCAATAAAAACCAAGACCAATACTAGCCGTTACAAACAGGACCACTCTCTAGTCTTTTAAGAGAGAGCGAGAGAGAGGGAAAAAAAACAATACCTGGGGTGTATTGGGCTGAAGAGTAAGAGGCTCCTGGTATGATTGAACAGATAAAACTATCTGCATGACCTTTGTAGTCATGGAGGGATCTGACCTTTTGGATGAGGAATGCCTGTAAAATCAAAGGGCATTATAGATCAAAAGATTGAGGAACATAAAAGATAAAGCCAGCTGCAAAAACAAGTTTTTATTATTATTATAGAAATGGGACCTTGGAAAGAAGAATTCTTGCTCCAACATGCTTATTATCCCATCCAAATGTGTTATCAAACTCGGCGGCCCCAAGGATCTGGCCATTAGCTTGAATGTAGTTGAGATAGGTTGGATTTTTGGTGGCCTTTTGCAGCCAAGCAGCAGCCCACAATAGCTCATCCTAACATTATCAGGAGACAAAAAAGATGACACCTTTAGGTTTAGCCACCCTCTAGAAAGTAGAAAGAACAATATAATTTGGGTATTGGAAAATTAACTGAAAAGTATACCTGATAACCAGAGTAATCACAATAGAAGGGGCACACATATTTCCTCAATCCAGTGCTGTAGGCTCCTCTGTGCTTATCAGCAAACTCAAACACCTGGACCCAGAAGCAAACATGATCTCAGTTTTGGGGGAACTTTGAAAGACCCACCCTGTTTCTTATTTCTTTTGGGGTTAAAGTTTCAACTTTGGTTTAGCTTCACATATTTACTTACGCTGATAGCCCTCCTGGCCAAAAGTTTGGAGTAAGTACGGTCACTTCTTCTGAAGACCAATGATGCAGCTGCAAGAGCAGCAGCAGTTTCAGCTGCTACTTCAGAACCGGGGGTGTTTTGGTCAATCTTGAAAACACTTCTTGGGGTATCCATGTCTTCTGGCCTCTCCCAACAAGCATGGTCCTTGTTAGCATCACCAACCTACCAAGTAACACCCAGAATCAACCTTAGCGTTCATGTTCTTATCCCCCCATAAATTTTGTTAATTTCTGATAGAACAAAAAAAAAAACAAAAGGGAACAAAATGCCTGTTCTCTAAAAGAAATAATAGACACAAGGAATATGAAGAATGCAGAGCAAAAACCTGAACATAGATGGTGCCTGGGTGGGCAGTTGCTTTGAGAAGGTAATCAGTAGCCCAACGAATGGCTTCCTTGGCATTCTGCAACTCACCCTTCATCAACCCACCAAACTCAATAACACTCCATGAAAGCATGGTGGTGGTAAAAGCCATGGGAAACCCAAACTTCACATTGTCCCCTGCATCATAGTACCCTCCAACCAAATCAACCTGCATTTGAGAGCACCACATAGAATACAAATAAGGAAAATCCCAGTTGAGAAAGAAAACCAAAACAAAGAAAGACAGAAAGAAAAAATGTGGGTTTTTGCATACATGCAGGGCTGAGCCATCTGAAAGACCAGAATCTCTCCTCCAAGAAATCCTCTGGTTAGAAGGGAGCTTCCCTGACCTCTGGCCTTCAAAGAAGAGGATGGACTTAGTGAGAGCATCTCTGTAGTTGTGACTGGCAAAGCGAGGATGGCGATGGCGTTGGATTGGGTTGTGGTAGTGCCCAGGAAAGGCATTGGCATTGCAGAGCAGCAGAGTGGTAAAGCAAGAGAGGAGGAGAAATACAAGTGGGAAAGAGAAACCAAACAGAGCCATTTTGGCTGCCCCAAGTAAAAAAGTAATAATACAATACCCAACCAACAAACCAACAAACCAACTGCCAACCTATGGAACTGGAAGCCGCAGTGGAAGAAGCAGACACCTCCCTCCCTTTGTATTTATAAACTGCAAGCTAGCTGGGTCTCTCTTTAACGTGCTAGGTCATAATCATAATTAACTCCACATCCTCCAATAATGGCTTTGGCTTTTGTTAATTAAGATTTAAATTATCCTTTTGCAAATGAGGCATATTTGTCACTGTTTTGGTTCACTCACTGTGTAAGGTAATGTGCATGTCCCTTTTGATATTCTGGAATGCGTCTGCCCCCATTAACAATACTGGTCCCATCCCATGGGGAGGCCTTACTCTCATTTGCAAACGAAAGCTCAAATAATATTTTTGGTGTTTCACTTATTTATCAGGAAATTACAGGTAGTTTAAAATAATAATAACAAAAGGCAAATTTAATGCCTTGGAGATTACTGGTCACGGGCTTTTAATCTGTAGAAAAATTTGATAAAATAATAAGTACCCTTGTTTGATTGTTATGGTTACAACTGAACTGGAGTAAGCTCCAATTGCTTTGGAACTGAGCTTAGAGGAACTGTTGCCCATACTCTATGACACAGAGAGTCAAAAACTAGTGTCAGAGAAAGGTGATGAACACGTATAAAGATGGGCTCGAATTCGACATTTGAACTGAAATAATATGCTGTCGGAGAAAAGTAGTGAGCCTAAACGTGGGTTTTGCTTCCGGTGCAGATGTTTGAGTTGTGAGATTAAATTCACCCATCACAAAATGGTCAATAAAGACCCATTCATAAGTACCAATGCTTGTGATGGAGCTCATGAATCAAGAAATATGGATAAGAAGCCAAAAAAACACCTCAACTTCTGGTTCTAAGCCACCACCGACCTGAACTTATGGATTTTGCACAAAATTAAGAGCAGCATTTGATAACTTGGACAAAGTTAGAAGAAGCTCTCTAAACAGCCTCATCTCTAGTCAGGATCAGGATGAGCAAAAGATAATATCATGATGAATCCCTTTGAAGCATGTGCTGTGAAAAAGTTTTCTTTCTTGCTATGACCACCAGTGCCATGTTGAGAAGATTACTTGTTTTTTTAATTTTCTAATGATCGGTCTGTTTTGTGTTTGCATATGCGACACAGCATCATATTACATGGTGGGGTATTTTGAGCCTTATTTTTTTTTATAATTACGAGAGGACCCCAAAAGCCAAAACATGTTACCCACCATACACATTCTTGAGTAAGTTTTGTTATACGTACAAGGGGCCAGACAACAAAAGGTAGCAGCCAGAAGAAAAAGAGGAAATGGAACACACAATGAAGACTGAAGAGTTTTGGATAAGAGCATTTACACTGGAACCACCGAAGTTCTAGGTTCGATTTTCTTTTTCCCAATATCACTTGTATTTATAAAAATATAAAAAATAAAAAAGAGTTTTGGATAGAAGGGGAATTAATAATAATGAAAATGAATGATATGATGCATTCAATTATGGAGCTAGCTTCTGGTGAGAAACCGATTGCCCAGATTTGACCCCTGTGTAGACTGTAGATGGATCAGTCCAGTGTAGAGAGAGACTTTAGAGAGAGAGCATGTTTGGGAAAATGGCTTATTCGGATCATGATCATGTGCTCCTCTGGTACGGTGGAACCCTCCCACATGGCTAGAGCATGCATTCATGTTCATCTTCTTGCTCTGCCTCTCTGTAAAACAAGACAAGTTATATATAGACAGTAACGAATCAATTCAACATGACCTAAAAAGCTGACACCGTGACACCATATTCATTTTCTTTCCTGCTTTCCTTTTTAGAATGCAATCAACTAAGAAAAATTAGCTCGACTTCAAAATTCAATGGATGGGGGTCGAGTCGACTGGACTTGTCCATTTCAATGCGCAATGTGTGCTCTCCTCTTCATTTCTAATCCTTGAACTAAATGCTATGCCTTTCAACTATCTTCTACCTCTGCTGTGCATTCAGCACATTTGGATAATGAACATACTTTGTTAATGAAGGAGAAAAGGAAAAGAGACTCCTCTGGTGGGGTCCCACCGTCCCAAGCTCATGGCATGACAATTGACATGGTACCTTTATTTTCTTCTCGAAATCTTGTCATGGCATGTCAATTATTTTTTCAGCTCAGCTTTCATTATTTCCAGTTGACACACCGCCATTTAGAGCATCCACAGTGGAGGGGTGTATATGCGAATGTATGTTAAATATACACCCCAAGTCATTGGAATCGTCTCCAATGAAGAGATGTAAATGGATGTAAATATATATCACCACTATGGGAATGTAAAATAAAATGTATATTTACATCTATTTTTACATCCCTTGCAGACGGGATTCACCCGAGAAAAAAGAAGAAAAATGAAGAAAAGTTAACATAGACGGCTGGGACCCACGGCTACACCCCTGAATTTACACCCTCCACTGGAGCAAAAAACATATTTACACCCCCCACTATGGATGTTCTTACGGTGTTGTTGCAGAAATTGGCATCATTCTTTATGGGGATGGACTAAAATGCATGCCAATAATGCTAACTTTTAAGACGTAAACTCTTACTCGATGTGTAAATTAATTTAATTTATAAGGAGAGGAACTCGAACTTTAATGCAAGGAATAAACTCGATGTCCTGATCAACTGGCCTATTTCATGTTTACATTTTCATATATGAATTTTGTGTTTTAGGCTAACCATTGAAGTAGATGAGGAGACAATTAAGAGGCACACATATAACGTATAATATAACGCAACGTAATAGTATTATGTTACATTAATTAATTTAAAGATGGGCCTTGCCTGCAGCGTGCGTAATATTTCTGCTCAAGGAGTCAAACCAATAAAGTAAGGAATATTGGTAGAATTGAGCCACTCATTTCCTTGTATAAACGGCCCAACCGTAAACTGATTCGCCTCATCTGAGCTGTTGATGACCCGGTAACCCGGCCATTTCACCCTCGCACTTGTATTCGAACCGGGTCCTCGGTTCAAATACTCCCCATAATACAACGTACTCAATGCAAATGTGCCATTCCACTCCAGCCAACCAGCGGGCTGCACCAAATCATCAATGTATGATTTCATGTAAACCGTCCTAGAATACTCTTTCCACGGACGGCCCAGATACGTTTTGAACGTTGACTTTACCGGGACCAGATCAGAAGCGGCTGCGACTTTGCAGTTCAAGATGGAAATGCCAGTGTTCTGGTTGGGGTCCTCACGGCCTTGGGCCGTGAACATGTTCTTCTGGTTTTCGTTTGGTTTGCGCGCGTAGAGGTTGCAGTTCTGGAGGACGACGGCGGCGTTGCCGAAGATGAAATCGACGGTGCCGTAGATGTCGCATTCGCGGTAGAATTGGCGGAGGGAATGAACGTAGAGGGTGTCTTGGTAGCCCACGAAGCTGCACTTGTAGAATGCAGAGAAATCGGAGCCGCTCCTAAAGGCTACCGCTTGGTGTTTGCTTGGGCCTGCTGCGTTTTCAAACGTAATGCCTTGGGCTATGAACCCGTCTCCCACAACAGCTGAAACCACAAAAATAACAAACCCATTAGATTTTCGTTAGTCAAGCCCAGTCTGATTTTTTACATATAAACTTCTGGGCTCAAAATAGTCTACATGGCCCAGCTTAGTAGATCTAAATTAGTCTAATCTACGGAGAAGGTGATTTGAAGTGGGGTGCAAGAAGACATGTTTACTGCTCTGATCAAATGACCTAATCTACATATATGTCAATATTGATTCATTTATTCATATACAATTTTGAATTACTCGTCGTTTTCATCCGAATTTATTCATATCCATGTTGCTTTGCACATTGTCTTTGTCCAAAACAAGAAGACGTCTAGTCCACATCACCTCATTGTCAGAACCCAAAATGTATTGTCAGACTTTTTTTATAAAAAGAATAAAAAGAAGAAAGAAGAAAAAGAAATGGGACCAGCACATGAAGTTTGTCATGTGAAGCGCCAATTATATTTAGAATACGACTAAAACTTTTATAATAACGCCTAGTTTTTGTTTAGGTGCAAAGATCCTAGTTGTAATAAGATGATTGATTTTTGAAAGTAAAAAAGGATGAATATCTTTTGTCCGACAAATTTATGTTCGTACGCGTTTCTTTCCTTCTATCATCCACAAGACACGGGCATATACGAAAGTAGCCAGATGGGGTCCTCCTCCTGCGCCACCGACGCTTAACAAAATCTGATCATCATCATCGGCCGTGAGAGAGAGGGAAACGCTTCATGGAGGAAATGATTTAGGGACCCATCGTCATCGACTTTCTGTCGCTTTCTTGTGGGGAGCATGAGCAATGAGCATCCCTTTGACAAAAGTCAGTTAGCTTTGCTAACATGGAGTTGGGATAACTACTTGTAGCTGGGGTTGCTTATATTTTGAAAGATCAATGTCAATGATTTGCCTCCCCCTAGGCTAAGCTCTATGACTATAATCAATAAACTTTTCGGTTCCGATTATATATATAATGAAATTTTCAGTACATATTTGTTTAACAAGTAATTTAAAGTACCAAGAGTCGCTCCCTAATCCCTAGTTGACTAATTCTTGTTTATTCAATTCTACGGACATTGTTTTGGCTCTGTGTAGTTGTGTGACATATATGGTCCTACAAGTAAGAGCACGAGTCCTACAGCGCACCAACACTCACGAGTAATTTTAAGGCGCCTACTATTCTATGCAACATGCCAACATAACATGCCTTACACTCACGAGTCGCCAGCGCACCAAACATTTTCAAAATTGAAAAATGTTGCACCCCAAAACAATTCAAAAAACAAATCAACTTTTTTTAGTAAATTTGAGTGGTTTTGAGTTTTGACCCGTTAAGCTTCAAATCTTGGCCATATCTTTTCCATTAATTAATCACCACTGCTCACTAGTGCGAAGAATTTGCATGTCACGAGAATACTATTGTTTTGTTATTTCCGTCAAATCACATCTGGTCATGTGAAAGAATTAATGTAGCAAAATGTGATTGGTTGGAATATCAAAACAATGTTATCCACGTGATATATAAGCCTTTCTCCACCAAGTTAATAATTCAAAACGATGAGGTGTAATGGGAAAACATAAGCAATAATGAAATCCCTAATTAAATTGAAGTTGTTAAGATGAGAAGAGCAAAACTCACCGACTGTGGCTGATCGGAAAGTAGTCCAGCCATCCACCACATTCCTACTGGCTTTCACAACCGTCTTTCCAATCCCATCACCCAAGAACATCAAGTTCGTCTTCTTCCTCACAACCTCCACATTCTCAAAATATGCCCCGCTTTTTATGTATATCACAAACCTATATATATATATATATGAATGAATATCCAACATTTCTAAAAAAACATTACTATATAATTAACTGTTATAAATTGAATTATTATTTAGAAATTTACCTGGTTGCACTTGAATTTGGAGCCACAGCTACAGCCTCGCTGATAGTAGTGAAGTTTCCAGTGCCGTCCTTGGCCACCACCAAATCGTATTTTGTCCCATTCGCCACGGACTGCAAGAGCTTTCGATCTTTCGATGAAACCCAAGTAGGGAACCCATTTTTCATGGGTCCAAACTCAGGGAACATCTCCGACTTAGAGTTCTCGTACTTAAGAGCTCCGGGAATCTTCTTGAGCATGACCAGGGCATTGCTCACGTGCTGAGAGATGGTCTGCAATCTGCTTTGAATTTCCTGCCTCACAATTCCAGTGTCGTTAAACCCATCAAGACACGTGTACTGGTTGGTCATTGCGCCGCTGAGCAAGGTCTTCAAGTCGTAGTAGCGGTTGGAGCTGAGCTTCTTGATGGAGAGGTCAGAGATGACAGCATTGAGCTCCGCAATGGTGTCGTCGAAGAGCTCGAGGCAGTCGTCGAGAGCAATTTGCTGAAGGGCGTCGAGCTTCTTGAACTGTTTTTTGATAATGCCGGTGCAGTTGGAGGAGGAGGCTTGGACCTCCGAGACGGTGTGGGAGACGGTGTAGGATATGATCTGTGGGACTGATTTGGTGGTGAGATCTGGGAAGGTGGAGAGGGTGGAGACGCAGAGGAGTTTGTAGAGTGTGTCTTGGCATGCCGAGTGGGCTGCTAATTGAATGCGGTTGTGGACGTGTGTTTTGGGGGTGTTTGAGTTTGAATTTCTAAAATGGGTATTTGAAAAGAGAAGGATTAGGAGGAGAGCTGAAGTAGGGAGCACAGAGAGCAAGAGTTTTGTTCTCCTTCTTAGATTATACATGGTGGTTGTGGTTATGGTGTGTAAGCTCGAAGGAAAACCTATGTTTGTGTGAGACAAAGACCGAGAGAGGTGGGGAGGAGGGCATATATCATAATCATATATAGGTGAATGAATAGGGGCAGGTGGCTGATGATGGTTAAAACGAGTTAAAAGGCATTATCATTCACCAAACAAATTTGTTGAGTTGAATTTAGATAATGCTCTTATTACGATAGCTTAAAAAGTGTTATCAGTGTATTATTAGGAATGAGTGAGTGAGCGAGTGAGTCTGTAGATAGAGATGACAATGGTGATGATGAGCATGAAAATGAAAAGAAAAGGGCTAGTTAAGGAACTCTGTTGAAATATAATGGTGATATTCCTTCATGATTGGGTTTGGAGGACGATATGTGCAGTGCAAGTTTCGTCCTTCACGCGAGGATACGGACCACAATCTTATCTTTGTTTCCTTAATGTTAAGCTGATGCTCTCTGTTTCTTCTATGTTTTTGTGTCGTCAATTTACTACCTCGTCATATGTCACAAGGCTAGGTGTACTGATAAAGAAAGATGGTCCTATGAAGGCTGTGGCTACTGTAACATTGGACGCCAAAGATTGTTTTCTAGGCGATTGTATTTTTCGCATATTTTTATTAGGCATTAGCCCTAATTAATTAATTAATTATTTAATTTCTTCTATTATTGGATTGGAGCTCAAAAACAGGGCCTGCCAGAGAAGGGAAAGGGAAGACAGTGGTCTCAAATCAAATCCGACAATACGAACATTGTGTCCTTCTGTCCGCTTGTCACATGAGAATCAATGTCCAATGAACGCATACAATGAGCTTCAGAGCGTGCAGAGAAAAACGACGTCTCAATCTTGAGAAATACTTCTTTATTCCCGTTTCATTGTCCTTTTTTCTTTATCTATAAGGCGGAGTAGAGCAATGAAACAAAGATATCCTCTTAATATGTATGTAAAGAGCTGCTTAGCTTAGCTTAGCTTAGGTAGCTGGCTTGCTACATTTTATTTGGTGATGAAGAAAAAAACAGAAGCTAATGGGATTGCGAAGCATGAAGTTAACTATTTCAGTTGGCCGGGTCGAAATATGTAACTCTGGAATCCACCAAGAATATATGAGGAAACATCAAGGTTTATTTGATAAACTGGAATAACAAAACATAACTCTAACTTCAAGTAAAGTAAGTTTAAATACTCATAGAAACCCTAATAATAACAAAGGAATTAAAATAGGAAAATAACAAAGTTTTCAAAAACTGTAAAAACTTTAAAACTAAATTTCGGGCTAGTAAACGATATCGGATGCCCGAAAAAGCCCATACATCAATGCATAGCGATGAGTTTTACTTGTGACGCCGTTCTCTTTAAATTAATGGGTCATGGGCTCAATTCTGAGCTCAAAGCCCAAATCTGCAATTTACTCAATTTGCCTTTGCGCCCGTCCTCTTCAATTACTTCCGCAATTTGTTCTATATCATTTGAATATTGGTATTTTGCTGGCCTAACTTGTTGGATTATATATTTAACTTTGAATTCAAACAGCTCCATAGTTGACATTAATAGTGGATAGTTTTTCTTCAAGCAACTCTACAAGCACTTCAAAAAGTGCAGCTACTCCTCTCTGTCAATTTTTTTGTATTTTTTTTTATCTCTTCTTTGCATTGACTGAAATCTATTGGAACTTGTTCTAAATTAAATTACCACGGTAATTTCACTTCTCATTATATTAAACTAACTCTAGTGTAATGGCCTCATACCAAATAAAACAACTTTGAATTTCAAACATTCGGTTGCCAAGAAATTCAACTTTCAGCTTAATTTGACTTCCAAGGAATATTAATTAGTGCACATATTACACTTCTGACGAAAAAGAAAGATGAGGACTCAAAAATAAAGACATCAACCAAGGTGGTTGGTGTGAGTGGTTCGGCACTCTCATTCCTTAAGAGAGGTCAGGGGTTCGATCCCTGCTCTCGTATGGAGTCACCACTTTGGCCAGCACTTTACTCCTTACGGGCCGACCCGGTGTGAACGGGGATTAGTCTGGGTTGTGGTTAAGGCTTAAAGGTGCCATCCATAGTTGGAGCCCATCCAGGACCACCTCGTGGTTCAGACCAAAAAATAAAAAATAAAAAATAAAGACATCCTCTCGTATATATGGTAATGATAATGGTACGTAGCACATATTTTTTTAATACAAATTTATAAATAAACTCAATCCTAGACATGTATTTATAAAAAAACCCAAGCACTATTTAAACATAGAAACACACTCAAAATCAACCCCAAAGTCAACTTTTTGGGTGTGTTTATAAATGAGTTTTGAGTGTGTATAATGATGGGTTTTGGGTGTGTTTATATGTTTAAATAGTGCTTGGGTTTTTTTATAATTTCAACCCCCATTTTGGGTGTTTTAGTGAAACTCCCTTTTTTTAATCAATGCGAGTTGAATCATTCGAATTTTAAAACTTCTTTTAATATTGGAGTGATTATAGAACTATACGGTAGTACGGCCACATGATACATCTTGTACACATGTTATAATATAAGGGAATATTTATTAATATTATTTCCTAAAAGAAGGGAAAATAAACTGTGTCGTTCACCCATGTTAAAACACGTGTACAAGATGTACCATGTGACTATACTACTATACTATTCTATAATTTCTCATTGAGAAGAGAGTTGCCACTAGACTAATTACAAGATGGTAATGATACCACATTTGTTGTAGCACGCGAATGGTACGTAGCCCTTCACGGCCAGTGACAAGATCGCTAATTAATTTAGTTTCAAGTATACGAATCATAATAAGCTAGCTGCTTCAACAAAATGGTTACTAATTATTATACTTGAACAAGAAGTACTATAAACATAAATTTTAATCAAGAGCGTATATATACACATTGATAGACTGACAAAAATGTTGAATTAAAAATAGGTTCAAGGTGGGATTTGCCTAATGTTAGGAAACATAGGAGGTAACTCTTTTTCAAAAAATTTGACCGCGTTTGGCTTCCAGCAATTGGACATGAAACTAATTCCATTGAAGCTTAGCCTATATAAATACAACACCACATTGCCTAATTAATCCGTGCAACTCTTCTGTCTATATGCAAATACAAGCCTTTTCAAGCTTACAAAAGCAAAGCTTAATCTATATCTCAAATATCACCCCATTCACGCCAATGGAGAATTTGCAAGCATTCTCTGTGTTCAAAGTTTCCATTTTCGTTCTTGTTTTTTCAATATGTTTTGCCTCTCCATCTTTAGCTGCAGATGCACCTCCATTCTCCAAGGAAGCCATTTGCAAATTCACCCCAGACCCTTCATTTTGTAACTATGTCCTCCCTAACCAGACCTCAAATGTGTACGAATTTTGGCGCTATGCTGCCCAAAAGTCCTTATCACAGTCTCGTAAATTCCTAAACTTGGTGGACAAGTATCTCAAACTCCACTCCACCCTCTCCAAAACCGCAGTCCTTGCACTCCAGGATTGCCAGTTCCTTGCAGGTCTTAACATAGATTTTCTAGCAAGCTCCCTGGAAACCCTCAACACCACCAAATATCAAACACTTTCTAGCTTGAAAGCCGACGACGTCCAAACCTTGCTCAGTGCTATCTTAACCAACCAGCAAACCTGTTTGGATGGCATACAAGCCACTGCTTCATCTTGGAGTGTAAAACGCGGTCTTTCGGTTCCACTCTCAAACGACACAAGCCTGTACAGCGTGTCTCTTGCTCTGTTCACCAAGGCCTGGGTGCCTAAGACTAAGAAGAAGGGGAGAAAACTGCTTGATCAAACCGATCAGCAGATCATCGATACTAATGACGTTTTGGTGAGGGACAAGGTGACTGTGAGTCAGGATGGAAGTGGAAACTTCACCACCATAAGCGACGCGGTTGAGGCCGCTCCTAACAACTCAGCACCTTCTAAAGGTTACTTCTTGATTTACATCAAGGCAGGAGTTTATGAAGAGTATGTGACCATCGACAAGAAAAAGAAATACCTCATGATGATTGGTGATGGCATCAATCAGACTGTCGTCACAGGCAACCGAAGTGTTAAAGGTGGCAACTGGACAACTTTCAGATCAGCAACATTTGGTAAGAAGAAGTAATGCGAAATTGATTAGTTAAACATGGTTCAAAATTTTAGCTTATATTACAGGGCACCGTATATATACAGATTTTATTCCATCAAACGTTTGATATAATTATGACTTGTACGTGAATTAATTAATGTTGCAGCTGTAGTTGGACAAGGGTTTGTGGCTGTGAACATGACCTTTCGCAACACTGCCGGGGCAGAGAATGGCCAAGCCGTCGCAGTTCGAAACGGGGCTGACCTCTCCACATTCTACAGGTGCAGCTTTGAAGGGTACCAAGACACCTTGTACACACATAATCAGAGGCAATTCTACAGAGAATGTGACATCTACGGGACTGTGGACTTCATATTTGGAAATGCTGCAGTTGTTTTCCAAAAGTGCAACATGTATCCCAGGCTGCCAATGAGCAAGCAATTCAATGCAATCACAGCTCAAGGCCGAACCGACCCGAATCAAAACACGGGGATTTCGATTCATAACTGTACCATAAGAGCTGCCGATGATTTGGCTTCAGGCGACGGCAGCACCAAGACCTATCTGGGAAGGCCATGGAAGGCGTATTCTAGGACAGTTTACATGCAATCCTTCGTGGATAGTCTGATAGATGAGGAAGGTTGGCATGAATGGGATGGAAATTTCGCTCTGAAAACATTGGATTATGGGGAGTATGACAACACTGGGCCTGGATCAGTGACTACAGGCAGAGTTTCATGGGATGGTTACCATGTGATCAAGGCTAGCGATGCCTCAAATTTTACAGTGTCCAATTTCTTGCTGGGGGATGACTGGCTGCCTCAAACTGGAGTGCCATTTTCTGGTGGCTTATACTAATTAATTATGGTATTACAAAAATATTCTAATTGGATATTTACTTTATTGTGATATTTAAGGTTTTTTTATATATTTTTTTATAATTTGTTTCAAAGATTTAACATGTATTCAAGCCAAGGTATGGCTTAACCCTAATATTGAAAAACACGAATTACTCTTTTTAGTTTTAGTTACACCTATTGAACGTGATATTTTGCAGATGTGGGTTAGATTATGTGGATAGACAATGCGTTCACCTCCTTGCATTCGAATTCAATTTTATTCCTTTGTAGTTTTTTCTGTTTTATGGATATATATAAGCAATATTGGTGAATGGGTGAAATCGAACCTAAAACCTCGGATGCATGAGTAAATGCTCCTAACTACTTAAGCTATAAGCTCCTAACCTTTTCTTTTGTATATCTCGACGAGTTCGGTGTCATAGACCGCGCGAGGGAGATGATGCTTCATAAACGTGAGAGAGAGTTGAGAGAGAGAGAGAGGGTTTTCTGAAAGGTTCGTGAGAGTATAGTGTAACAGTGTTAGAGAGAGAGCGAAGGGTTTTCCCAAAAGCTCCGTGCCCGTTGGTATTGATAATTTGATAGCTTGTCCCACAACAAATTATGGTGTGTGTCACTTAGGAAAAAGATGCAGAATTATATATGTCACAAGTTGTGCGTGTATCGTTAATCCAAACATTTGAAGTCCATGCATTTTTGGCTTGTTTTTCTGGTAACGAATTCAAAGTCCATATCAAAAGATTATATAAGTTTATTCCCCAAAAACCACTAGGCATGTGACAAATTAAGTGGCTTTATTTTCAACATGCATATACGTGTGTGCTTGGTTTATTAATTTCGAGATTAATATTATTCTATATTATCTCTCCAAATCCATAAGCCAAACACATGTAATGTGATCACTCACCCTTGCAATTTGAACTCCACCACAAGAAATATATAAGATTATTGTGTATTAATTGTTCTTAATGGGTTTGGTTTTTTGCTCAGAGTACGTAGAATTTTATTCGTTATTTAATTAAATCCTCATCAATTAACTAATTCCTTATACCGCTTGTTCTATCAGGAA